AATTCTAGAAAATAAGTTTTGAATCAAATCTCTTAATATTATTTTTTTTACCTATCATCATTTCAAGTTTTTTAAATTTAATGTAACTAATACTTAAGACAAATAATTTTTTTTTAATATTTACGCTATCATATAACAAACTATACTATGGCACGTGCATTGCACATGCGTCTTACTAGTTTCTCTAAAAGAAGTACAATTTCGTATTTATCAATATTTTTGAAGAATATTATTTTGAGACTCCAGAAAAGTCAATATTATGTGATATGAATGGATAAATTTACTATTGCTAATAATTTGTTCTCCATTAAATAAAAGAGAAATTTATAAAGTTTTTAATAGTGTTTCTTAATTGGTACACTACATTAAACTCTAGTGACTATTTTGATAAATTTTGTATTGAACTAGAAATTCAATAATTCTTATATTTTATTGTTTGTCATGTCCAATTAGACCATCACTGGATCAATAATGATGCGAAATTATAAATTCAAATGGATATTTAATGAAGAATCAGAAGTATTTTCAATTTAATGAATTCCTATATGTTATTTGTTCTATTTATTGAAAATAGGTGATCACTAGTTAAATAGGGATTGAATTCCCTATATTTCTAAAAATTAATTAGGGTGATATATGGGGTCCTGTCATCTTCCACGTTGACTTTCTAGATATTATTTGTATTTAATAGATTTGATACATATATTAGATGATTACATGGTGTTCAAAACTTGAAATTTGTGAAATTACTGTTCAAATTTTAAATTGTGAACATAATTTTCAAATTATATAATCGAGATGGTGTGTCTTGTTAATGCTAGTGATCCTAAATCTCAATATTTTAGTAAGTGTTAGTTTAAATGTCGATAAATGATTTAATACTATTGCTTGTTAAACATCTCCGATTAATTTAGTTGAGAATAAAGTGCTCCTCTTTTCTGTTTAGAAAATGTTATTACACATCATGTCAACATCATAATTCTTCCTATTATAATTAGTTTACGGTCAGAGCCTAATTTTTCCATCTAATTATTTTGATAGTGCAGTATACATAAAATTGATTCACTATAACACACTAAGATGGAAAGTAAAGAATTTTGAGAATAAACGCGTAGTTTGAACTCTTATCCCAATTAGTGATATTTTATTCTCAATTTAATTGGATAATTCTCTCAGCATTAGGAGGATGAATTAAAAAGTTTAAAATAATATACAAATACATCATTATCAAAATTTTTGCAAAAGATTATTCGAACCAGAAGTTCAAATGATGATTCACTTATCACTATGGTTGGGACCATAAAAAGAGGATTTGCATTGTTGATGAGATAAATACAACATCGGTTTAATACCAAAATATAGACCAAATATGGTATCAGAGCCCATTAAACTTCAACGTACGATTCGATACGATTAAGACTAATAAAAAGAGCACGCGAATTTCAAGATTGATTTACTCAAACGAGCTACCATCCTGAATGAATGTTAAGAGATAAATCCTACATTGGTTTAATATCGAAATATCGATCAAAATATAAGAGATTGGACTACTCTTAATAAAGTTAATATTTTAAGATGAAACTTCAAATCGTGTAAAGATTATTTTAGGAATTTTCAAAAAAAAAAATTGGATATTTTCGAAAGTTTGTGAATGATAAACATTTTCCAACTCACATTAGTAAAGAGAATATCCATCGCAATTTCCTCATCATTAAATGTTCCTTTTTCAGAATTTCACATTGCCAGAGTTATGTGAAAGCATGTATAGATCAAATTTTATTGGATTAGACCGAACGAAATTCAACAAAATAACTTGTATTGTTCTAAAAGCTCAACTAAGCATGAACATAGAAAATGTCAAGGGTAAAGGGTAGAACCCATAGTTGATAAATAGTAAAAAAAAAAATTTCTTTTAAAAAAGTTTTGAATACGTAAAACACATTGCATTTCACCCAGTTTTCGAGTGAATCAGCTATTAAGACCTAAGAACTGATGTTTTATCTTAAAAGTCAAAAAAAGTAATCAAAACCCTTAAATGTTGGTTTATATTTTTTATTTATTCACTATGAATTTATCCCTTAACATATCCCTCGTAAGATGGTTACTCGTTTGGGACCACCAATATTAGAATTCATGTGCTCATTTATGTATTGGTCGAATCGGACTGCTCATTGAAATTTAATGGGCTCCATTACAAAATTAGGACTTGGGGGTTTTATCTTTAAGATGTCGGTCTTATTAAGAGAAATAATTGTTCGTCCTTGTATATTTGATTTATATTTTAACGTGGGATTTATTTTTTAAGACGACTTGCTCAGTTAATTTTTTCAATGGATTTTTTTCCTCGGTGTTAGGCTCTTCACTTAAATTGTTCTGCCCGTGACACTGAGATTGTGTAATCCATGGAGAGTAAATGAGCTAGCCAGTTCTCACTAGATAAGTACAAAATTCTAGTCAAAGAGAAGGTTCTAAAATAAAACGCACACAAAGAAATTAAAGAACGTGGGCAACAGCAACTATAAAAAATAAGAATAATGCGCCTTGGACAGGCTCGACACGTGTTCCCCCTATTTTTTAACATGTCTTTGAGTTTGTTTGTATAACACAATTGTTTATTTATGTTTGATTGCTAGCATTACGAGACGAACTCACAACGGTCTAAGTTGTACAAAAATTGAAACGGGAATTGAAACGCTACATGATACTACAATTAGAATACCTAATTATGAGAAAAGTAAGGCATGGAACGCTGTAAAAGCATTGTACAAAAATTATAACTTTTTCATAAAAGTGTGTAAACATTTAAAAAAAAAAAAAAAAAACTATTTAACATTAAACTCTAATCACTTATTATTTTTATTTTTCTACGACCACTTGCTAATTTTAATGTTGTATATATAAGAATTACAATAAGAAAGATTGTAAATTTTTTTGGTGAAGCCCTGAATTAAGTTACTTCTTAGCAGAAGCCCGCAAAAGTCCATAACAATGCATAGTTCTTATTCAAGCTCTCTAATATTTTGGTCAAAAGTTTACTAAAACATTCCATAAAGTGTTTTAATGGTATTCAAATTTTACTAAAAAATTAAAATTAATTGTATTCAAATTTTACTAAAAATTAAAATTAATTACGAAACTCTTCGAAAACCTTCGAGTTTTTTGAACTTTCTGAAAGGTTTTCGAAGAATTTTGGTTTCCTAAACATGCTCGAAATGAAAACATTAACGTCTTAGAAGTTTCCGTATATTCTAGACGATATGATAAATAAGTTTTTAGTTCATTTTTATCATAAACAACCTATCAAGCCATCAAGAAAGAACCAAAAATATTAGTTAAGATTAAACATAAGCAAAAGAAGGACAAGTAGACACTAAAGCTGTTGTCTAAGAGAAGTAATATTTGATTCACAATATTGGAGATAAAATTTTATATATTTATTTTCTTTGGCACACTGATCAAACAGGCAATCAAGCTATTAATAGAGAAACCAAAATAAGATTGTCAGATTAAAACATGAAGACAAGGACAAGAATTACATAGTAATGCTCTTATTGATTAGCCCCAGGATGAGAGAACTGGAAGGATGGAACCATTCCCATTAAATCCCCTTCCATTGTGCCAACAAAGGAGTGGCCTTGATTCATTGGCAGGTTCATACTGAGGCCAACGGCTGCATCCAACATATTGGGATAAAGAAATGCATCTTGATTAATCTGTGTGTTTGTTTCTGATGCAGAAGAAGGGTACAGCACGGCTTTGCCATTATCCACGATCGAAGCATTGCTGGATAAATCATTGTTTCCAAATAGGTTCTTCATGAAGTCCATTTCCTCCTCACATGTTTCGAAAGAGAAAAAAGACTGGCCCTCTGCCTCGGCCACGGTGGAGCTGGGAGGAGTAATGGTGGCGGCACAGGTGGTGGCTGCATCTGAGGTGGTGGAGGTGGATGTAGAGCCAGAACCGTTGTTGAAATACTTGTTCAGAATGTAATCTTGTAATAGGGTTGATTGTCGTTTTCCATTTACCCCTCTTGGTTTCTTGATTTTTCTCCTTGAAATCTGTCTTCTTTTAGTCGCATTCCAGTGGTTCTTTATCGAATTTTCAGTTCTTCCGGGGATGTGTTTGGCAATCTCTGCCCATTTGTTTCCTATCTTCTTGTGGACTTCGATTAACAGCCTTTCTTCCTCTTCACTCCAAACGTCTTTCTGAAATTATTTATCAACAAAAGAATTATATGATTCCTTTACATAATATCATATAATAAAAAGGGGAAAGTGAGTTTTGATTTGATGGTCAATTTGAGAGTGAAGAAAGTTCATAACAAAACAATGGGAAGGAAAAAAAATCTAGTCAGTCGTACTGTGTAATGCTATTTAATACTGTGCAGAAAACCTGCCTAAACCCTAGAAATTTCTTTGAAGGAAATTTTCATTTCAAGATTTTCTTGCTTCAAGTCCTCCAAACAATTAACCTAAGCTGTCATCTGAATGAAGCATCAATCAATACTTAGAAGATCTCACAACAAATAAAAGTTAGTTCTTAAACAGATGAATCTAAGAAAAGATAATTCATACTGTTTGTCACTCCTAGAAATCATCATGTTAAAATCTAGGGAAAATTCTTAGGATATGCAACAAGTTTGAGCCCATAAATAGCCGTAACTCACTAAAGAAATGGTTTTTAGTCCAAAAGTAATGAAATCTCCACCCCTTAATAAAACTGGTTGTTGCTGACATTTTCTTGAAACACACAAAATCATTCATGGAATTTAGGTCAAGATTTGAAGATAAAAGTGAGATTGAGAGTAAACCTTGATATCAGGACGCAAATGATTAAGCCATCGCTCACGACACTGTTTACCGGCTCTCTCCACCATTTTCTCAGCTATCACAGCCCAATTTTTTGAACCATATTGCATTACTAACTTTGTCAATTTCCTGCTTGGAAAGCATCAAATTATAGTAAAAGATCAGAAAATGCCAGTTCTTTTTATGTGTGTAAACAAGCACATATCAATAGAAAATAATGGAAAAAAAAAAAACTACAAAAGCAAAATAAAATTTTGATTTAAAAGAACAAAATTAAAGGCGTAAACTAAAATTCTCATAGAGTCAGGTTACCCGTCTTCTTCTTCTGTCCACTGACCCTTGATCAAATAGCCATTGGACTGGCCTTTCTCTCTCCTTTCTCTTGGATCAAAACTTTCACTTGCCAATTTCACTTCATTTGAATTTCCAATAACATCATCTTGATTCCAGGTCACCTCTGCATAAGGGAGAATCACATTCACAAAGCCTGTTTCAGGAAATTTATTTGCAGAAAAACTTGAAGAAAACCCAGAAAACAGGTTTGGAGGAAAAAAGGGTGAGTGGTTTTGCACAGAAGTTAAGCTTTTCTGGTAAGAAAAACTGTCCTGAGATGACAAGAACTTTTCTATGGCCGTTAATGGAGGTTTTGGTTGGGAAAAGGAAGAATGATTTCCTAAATTCCCATACACAGAACCTTTTCCTCCAATTTCCATTTAGGGTTATTTTCAAGCAAAGAAAACAGGAGAAAATTCAGAATAGGTGAGAGCTTATAGCAAGCCTTGTATTCAGCTGCATGCTATTGCAGCCATTGATGTAAGAACAATCCAATGGATGAGAATTGGAAGGGGTAAAAACTTATGAGCTTCCTATTCGGTAAGAGTAGAAAAGTGGAGGAATAATTTGTGGGTGGTCATAACTATCACTTTTAATATATATATCATAATTTGCTAATAATTTTTGGGCATGTTTGGTAACTGGATTATAGATAGGTTTGATTGATGTTCACAAACAGCTCAGCCGAAAATTGATTAGACGACGAAACAAATAAATATTTACTTGTTTTTATCATAATTAACAAATTCAAACTAAAATAGGTTTAGAACGAATATTGATTAATTGGAGGCGAAATGGGTACAATCTCATTTCTCGCCTCCTTTTACTTATTTATTTATTTTTATTTTTTTAAATACATTTAAGTATAAACACATAAAAAAATAATAAATAAAAGTCATGACAGTGCGACACAACTCCTTGGTGAGACTATCCCTACAAAAAACTCAATCGACTAACTAGTTTAATGAAGAACCAGATGAACCATGCATGGTGGATCGGGTTTCTTGAGATATATTATGTTATATTGTTATCCTTAACCCTATGGAATCTTAATGTTTTGTTTTTCACACAATTTTTGCACTAATTAATATTGTCTCTTTTAAAAATCTAACCTTTAGATTTTTAGATTTTTGAATTCTATATACTCTTAAGGCAAATTTTAATCAATTATTATTTATTCAATATAATCTCTAGCCTTATGGACCAAATATGCCAAATATTGTATGAGAAGAGGTATTGAACCTGTTGTCATTATATTGCAACTAATATCAAAGTCAAAATTTCACTCTTTAAAAAAATACTAAGTCATGTTTAAATCTTTTTTTTAAAAAAAAAAAA